GGGAGCCCCGCGTTGCACCCCCCGCTGTCATGCTGGGCCCCGGGCGCCCCCGTAACCCTGGCGGTTTGTTTGCAGAGACGGCCCTGGAAGGAGGAGAAATGCAAGAGGAGGGAGAGTGAGAGGGGTAAGGAGCTCCCGGAGCTGCGTGAGTGATCCCTCGCCCCGGGGGTCCCTCCGGGCCACGCTGAGAGGGGAGGGGATGGGATGGGCTGATGGGCTGCAGGTCGTCCGGGGCTTGAAGTTACTTGTGCTGCAGGGCGCGGGAGAGGGGATGGACTGCCTGGAAGTAGCTGAGGCACAGGGTACGTCCCCTGCCAAGTGCTTCTTCCGACAAGAGGCTCAGTCGGTTGGGGTGGAAGCTACGCATGTGTCAGGGAACGGCACCGAAGTTCTAGCTTTGACATGGGGGTTAGGGATTCAGGATGTTATCCAGCATGTTTGGGGTATTCCTGATGTGCATCCAGATGTGTTTGTTCTAAAGATGTAGCGGTGCTTGAGCTTTTTGATGCTCATGAGCTTTGTGGAGGCATTTTTGTACTTGATCTAATGGCCTGCATGGCCTCCAGCATCGTTAGTATTTTGCAGTAATTAAGCCTAAAAGCTCCTTGTTATTGAACAAAGATCTTGGGCAGACATAAAAGACATTATACGACATTGTAAATCATTCCCGATTGTCATACTCAGGGCCTTTTGTCAACTGAAAACTCTACACTGAATAGAAAATAAAAGCTAGGTGTCTGGAGAATAAAGAAAACAATATGAAAAGTCAACCTCTAAATACCTGCATATCCAACCTTGATTGTGCCTTCCAGAAACACAGCCTCTACCTCGCCGTATACTTGCACGTGCTTTTATCTGTGTGTTTATGATTAAAGTGATGACCTGCAAAGAAGTATAAATCCAGCACATTAAGTATGTGATTCTGTGAAGTATTCTGAGATCTAAACTCCAGATTCCTTGTCCCTTGTGAGTTTTCTGGTTCACTCAGTTGTTTATTTGGTGTATGTACATTTGTGATCTGTACATAGAAGGTGTTTTTGGTTTATATCAGGAGGGTACGTTGACATCTGTCTGATACTAGACTGGTGAATAGGAAGAAGGTCCCATCTCTGGCCTGTCTGTGGAAGCTGGGATGATGAAGGCCCTGCAGTGGGAACGTGCGGTGGTACAGGGTTGAAGCTCCAGCCCCTGTCTGGTAGTTATAGAGCAATTGGAAGGGTTACATGCAGAGTTTTGGTAAAGTAAGTGTGAGCAGCATTAAAGTGGGGGCTGCAAATAGGGGTGCATGTTTTCAAAATATCCTTTAGCCTAAAATCCGGGTAGGGGAGGGGCAGCTGTGGGTATTAGGGCAGTAGTTTGGTGGAGGAATCTTATCTTTGTTTTCCCCCTTTGGAAGACTGGCTTGCTAGTGAGATTGCATGAAAGCTTCAACCCTTACACCATTTCTGCTTTTCCTCCACATTCTTATAACTTCGTCACACTTCAGTATTTCAAGTCAAAAGTTTTGAGGTCTGATACCTGCTCAAACATGAAGATTTCTGGATGGGGAGGTGGATTCTGAGAGAGTTTAATGAAAACAGTATAGTCATATTTTGAGAATCAGTAAGAGCTTTATTTTGACTTGCGCACTTTGTAAACGGAGCAAACAAAAGTTAGGTGCTCTCTGAAGTTCTGATAGGGGTCTAGATGGAGACAGGCAGCCACTGAGTGCCCTTGCCTATGCTAGTCTGGTTTTTAGAATCTGAAAACGGAGTTGCCTTTCATAACTTGTACTCTTCAAATAAAAAAGCTGTTGTGAGATTTTTGTTTAAATTGGCATCTTTCTATTTAACTCCTGAAGTTCTCAGTTTAATCCAAGGGAGTCTAGGAAAATTACAAAGTCTGTTTGGAAAATGTATCTGATTATTATATGAGACTTTATGTTTTTATAGAATGACGTTCACATTGATGTTTTTGATGTGGAAGCTAAGCAAATAAGGGTTTATTTTAAATACAAAAACAAACAAACAAAACCCCAAAAAACCCAACCCCCAAACCTGACATTCCAAACAAAAACCCCCTCTTGATTCAGGTGGTGCTCAATTGCCAAGAATGCATTAGCTCTTCATATGTGCCCATCCTGTGAAATAAAAAAGTCATGTAATTAAGCATCACATACCCTTGCTGTGGGCAGTGTATTTAATAATTAATTTGGCTCAGAGAAGAAAGCAGAGGAAGGAAGGTAAGAGTCTTGCCCCATCAGATTCTGATTGAATCACAGCAATGTAAATCCAGCGTAATTCAGTCAGGCAGCTGGCAGTCTGACTGCATGCCACTGATGCAAGGTAAATAATTCATCCTTAAGTGTGTTTATTGGTTGATTTGTAGTGAGTGAGTGAGGCAGGAATACTTGGCTTTGCTGTTGCGTGAGCAATTCATAAAAACAAAATTATCAGGTAATTTGGTTCATTTGAATACTGCTTCCCTACATAGAGGAAAATTGTCTTTGCGTTTTGGCTCACACGCAGCAATTCCACATGTATTTATTCTGCTCTAATATGCTTCTGGAAAGTAAGTGTTTCGTACTACTTGGGGCATGCTCCTCAGCTTATCTGGTGATTGAGTTAAGCCCTTCAGAAACAATATTTACTCATTAATTCGACTACTGTCACATCATAACAGAAATAGGAGTGTGACAATTTGCAGGTAGCTGCATGAGAAACTTGCAGTGCTTGCTTTCTCTAAGCAGCTTGCTCTGCCAGATGTTCTCTGAGCACAGTTTTTATTACATGTATTTTACCTTCCAGTTTTGCCATATTTGTTCAGGTGCATCTTCTGCTTCAGGAAATATTATTTTGTTAATTTCTTTAGTTTTTGAATAGCATTTCAATGAGTGAAACAAACTTTGTCCGCTAATGCTATTATATAGAGGAATGTTAAGAATTAGAATGGAAAGGGCTTCTTCAGCCAGGTGTTCCTAAAGAGATGACATTTCTGTCTTCAGAGGCCTGTCTTTTGGTGTCCCACTGGTCCTCTGACTGCATGGAGAGTTGAGATGAAGCAGTGGACACTTGACTGGGGACAGAATCCTATAGAATCTTGTCCCAAAGATGGGAATGAAATGGGCAACAGGGAGCCGTGACATGATCTCGCCTGGAAGTAGGGTACCTCAGGAGCAGGGTAATCAGGTTATCTTCCCACTGCCTAGTCTCATTGGGTGAGAGCAGAGGATCTTGTCTGTCAGGAACACTGAGTGATGTTTCTGGGTTTCTTCTGAGAGTGGGGCTGGGGTGGTCAGAGCAGTGGCAGTAGGAAGTTAGGAGCCCTAAGTTTAACTTCTTGGTCTGCTCTGACTGTCTGTTATCTTGGGCAAGTCTGTTTCCCTCTCTCTGCCTGTCTTTCTTCCTGTGTAACACAATGCTAATGTCCCCCTGCTGCATCTGGGTCCTTAGTGTTGAGCTGGGGTGGAGGGACAGGCAGCGTCCAAAGTTTCCACTGCTTGTGGGGTCAGACTGCCTGTGACAGTGAAAAATGGTTTTCAGCTGTATTTTCCTGGTTGCAGATGCACAGACTTCATAGTTTATGCCATGTACTTGGGTGGTAGATAATTGGGGGACTTTGGAGGTGTTCTGGGTTTGTAGTCAGTCCTTTTTTTGCATGGAGGACTATTGGGCAAGAGGCGTTTCAGATGGACACAAGCCTGTGGGAATAGCAGACACCTTTTTCCCCTGACAGTAATTTTTGAATTTGGGCAGATAGCTCAAAAGTGGGGAGAAGTTGCTTGAGTAAGAAAGGGGAGATTAAGGAACTGTCACAGCATTAGACTGAGTCAGTTCCATGTTGGAGTCTCTTTGGGTTTAATGTTCTTTTTGTGTGTGTCTGTCTGTCTGTCTTCCTTCTCCTCCATTCCTCTTCTGTTCTCCCTTCCTCTTCCCCCCCTGTGCCCAGCTAGGATGGAAGAATCTCATTTCAACTCCTCCCCGTACTTCTGGCCAGCAGTGCCCACCGTCTCGGGACAGGTAAGATCTTTGTCTTCCAACCCATTATGCTGGTCTTGTTTCCTTTTAGAAGTTCATGCACGATAAGTGTTTCGGTTGCATTTCTTGCTCAGCCAACTGCTGAGAGAAGCTGTGCCAGGGTATTCTAAAAAGCTGTTCTTTCCACCTGTTTAGATTGAGAACACCATGTTTATTAACAAGATGAAGGAGCAGCTATTGCCCACAGAGAAGGGCTGCAGCCTGGCTCCCCCCCACTACCCTGCCTTGCTGACAGTACCCACCTCTGTGGCCCTACCCACTGGTATCTCCATGGACTCAGACACCAAGCCGGAGCAGCTGACACCACACAGTCAAGCCCCTGTGACCCAGAACATTACTGTGGTACCAGTGCAGTCTGCTGGGCTCATGACAGCAGGTAGGGGACTCCAAAGACTTGGGCAGCATTATGAAGGGGACTCTGGGATGCAGGAACAGGGGATCCTGGAGAATCCTTTCCAGGCTGTAGATTATTCCTAGCCTTACTGATGGTGTGGACTGCCTTGGCATACTTTCACTGGCAATTTCTGGGCACTCCATACATCCACCCGCTTTATGGAAGTTTGACTTCCAGCAGTGGAGACTGGGAATGTGTTGGGGAGGGTAAGCTGCTCTTCTGTTTGCGTTGTAGTCAGAAGGAGGTGTATAAAGCTCGCTTCTGTGGGATAAGGAGGTTGGTCATAATTAGAGATGTAATAACTGACTCCCTCCGTCTTTTTTTGCAGGTCCTGGTCTGGTGATAACTTCCCCATCAGGTTCCCTGGTGACCACAGCCTCCTCTGCCCAAACCTTTCCCATCTCAGCTCCCATGATTGTCTCTGCGCTACCCCCTGGCTCCCAGGCAGCCCTCCAGGTGGTTCCTGACCTGTCCAAGAAAGGGACAACCACCCTCTCTGAAGGTGGTGGAGGTGGCGGTGGTGGGGGAGTTGCCCCCAAACCACCCCGGGGCCGGAAGAAGAAACGATTGCAGGAATCAGGGCTGCCAGAGATGAACGACCCCTTTGTGCTGTCAAACGAGGATGATGAGGACCAGCACAAGGATGGCAAGACATACAGGTGGGGAGCGGGGTTAAATCTTGACTGTAACATTGCATGGGGATGGGGGTGTGTTTAACCCTTCAGAGGGTTACATGGAGAAGAAGAGATCTCTGCATTCTCCCTGTAGAGTCCCTAAGTAGAGAATCTTTCAGCTGCAGAAAGAGTTGAGTTTTCACTCTAATCAGGAATGTTTGCAAGCTAGTGGGTTGACTCAGAACTAAAAATCTCCTTCTTAGTGGACAACCTTGATTTTGTGAATATACAGATATTAATGTTACTAGGTTAATGACCAGGATGTTATATGACATATCCTTGATGCCACAACCAGGTAGTACAGCTGGTGTACTGCAGAATGCAGTACTGTCTGGTGTAACTGGAGCACTTCTGGTGTGGTTGAGAGCCCTAGTGTTCCTGGGTGCCCCTGAATTAGGACTCCAGTCTGTCCAGTGTAAAGAGTACAGACTGGAGGCACACAGATCAGGAAGTGAACTGTGGTGATAGTATCTGCTCCTGTGTGCATTGCCCCCTGTGATCTCCTATTTCAGCATTCCCAACAAAACAGAAAAAAAAAGGCGTATCTCTGAATTAGGTATTTCTGAGCCCTAAGGGTATCACATATGAGGGGGGAGAGTTCTGAGCCCTGAGGTTGGGTTTCTGAGCTTGGAGGGATGTGGCTTGAGTTTACAAGTGAGTGGTGGGAAAGGGAGACATTAACGAGGAGGCAGTACTTAAACCAGAGGATAAGGAGTGGGGGTGTTTTAGAGAAGCTGGGAACCAGACAGAGCAGATGAGTGCTAGGGAGAAAATGTGATGGTCGGCATTGGTTGGGAAGCAGAAGCATGTATGGGTGATTTAGTGATAGGTGTTGCGGAGGGATGATTAAAATCAATAAGAGGCAAAGTAGTATCCAGATGGAAATAGAAATAGGAGATGGTCCCTAGCTCTTCTCAGTTCTTTACTATGTGCTCATGAGCCCAACTCCAAGTTTCCCTTTAACCAGCTTTTTTTTTTTTTTTTTTTTTGGAACAAATTTGGTTATGTTTCAGGAAATAAGTCATAACAGTGTGAAGGCGTCTACATAGAATCAGTCCATCCACCCCAGACACTGCTTCATTTTTAACTGTAGCATTTAAAAAATGTTTACTTTTAAAAATCAATGCAGTTAAATAGGTACAAAACCAGAGCTTGGATCAGCTTTTTTATTCTCTTATCCAGTGTCCCAGTTCTTCCACTTTGAAAATGGAATCAACGTATGGTGAAGAGGGGTGGGAGTGTTAGGTAGCTTGCTATTTGTAATCCCGCCATTTATTTTGGGCCTTAGCCACAATTCTACACTACTCAAGCTGCTTACAGTCTGGGTTGCTAATTAGGCTGTTAAATATGTATTTACAGGGGACACAATTGGCAGTGAACACTAGAATTAAAGTTGAACCAAGGCTTTAATTATAGCTCCTTGTTTACTTGTAAGTTGTAAAAAAAATGCCCAAGACCAGGTGGAATGACTCAGCAGAAACTTCATGAACACACATAGTCTGTGTAACAGCTGATGAAGAAGACTTTGCTGGAAAAAACAAATTATTTTATATGTAGGAACATGTAATCAGGAAGATTTCCTCTCTTCGTGTTTAATCTCAATGTGTTACCTCTGCCTCTTCCTCCAGCCTCCATCCCAAGTAGGCCTCTCTCTGAGCAGTGCTAGGGTGCAAGATAGATAAATTGAGATTTGTTGAATACCACCAAGGAGTACTTCTGCCCTCCTTGGGATCTCCTCCTTGGCTGATGCTTGCTGTGTGCAAGTTTGGAACTAAAAATAATTGTTGAAAAAAAAGAAAAAAAAGGAAAGTGCTATCTTCTCTTGGAGGTGTGGGAGAGAAAACCTTTGTGAAATATAGTAAAATTGTTTCTCCATAATATGCACATGAATAGACTTGCCAGTTTAAACTTTGAGGACTCCTGGGTTCCTTCTGCATTCTAGAGGATGATCTGGGTAGTTCCCATTACTACAGTATGCAGACATATTCTAGCTAAATTAAGACTGTGGGTGAGGTTCATCTACTCCTGCTCCCTTCTGAGGCTGGAGGAGGAGTTGCTTGTGGTATTCGTATGTCTACGTTTGTATGATTTCACTGATTCTTATGAGGATACACTGAGGACAATCTAGTCAGATTCCTGAAAGGAGTTGTACTATATAGATCAAGATGACTTAAAAAACAAACACAAAAAAAACCCCCAAAAAAACCAAACCACCAAACCAAAAAACAAAACCCACTTAATTCCTAAAGCCTGGGATTATTTTGTCAAATAGAATTCTTTTTTGTTTTAAGTTTCTTTTTGAGCTCCATGAGCTCTCTTGTTCTGAGTACCTGGGCAGGTGGCTGATTTCCCTAATTCCTGACTAGTGTATTGTGAAGACAGAGTAAGGTCTTGAATGGGCAGCACAGCAAAGCAGACTTGGAAGGAATTGGAGCACAAAGGTGGTACTTGTATTGCAGCTCACCCTATTATCTACTGAATGTAGAGATTCCTGCTCCAGCAAGTGGAAGCTGTTTTTGCTGCTGTATCATCTCTAGAAGTGAATTAATAATCTCCTGTGAAAGTGGTGCAGGAATCTTTGTGACTAGGTTTTTCTTTGTAAGAAAAGGTGCGAGGGTTTAGCTAATGACATTGTTCCTTGCAGATCTTGGACATGAAGCCTTAGGATTAGTCTGGCAGAGTCCTTGTGCTTTGCTTTGTGTTGTTAGAAGAATGCTTGCACCTGCAGGGAACAGCATCTAAACCAGACCTGTGAAGCATTTTCCTTCATGAGTAGTATCACTTCAGTCTTGTCTGGATTAATTGTCAGTTCTTTGTTAATCTTCCCAGACATCTTTGTAGAATTTACCTTTTCTGTGGAAAATGAGATTGGCATCAAGTAAGGTGCTGGCAGTGTGAAGCACATGGCTTCTACTCAGTACTTTAAAAGGCGCTGAGCAAGAGAGAGCAAGCATAGGTCCTAGAGACAGTAGTATTGTTTCTTAGTACTGTTTTAGTACCTGTACCTGTGCACTTTCAGAAGTTTGTGGTATGATGTAATCATATCACAAGTGGACAAGGCTGAGAAGTGATTCAGCCTATCTGGGCCATGTCATCAGTTCTCTCTCTCTGATAAACAGTTCTCTATTAAATAGTTTCTTCTTTGCAGGAGGAAGAGAGCTCTTGATAGGCATTGCTTGGTTCCAGTATTAAGTTTGTGAAGGCTAGGATGAATACCAGTTTGTAGTCTGGAATAGTTTTGCAAGCTGTCCTAGGATAGCAGCAGAAGGGCTGTAGGCTTGAGAAGGGACTTGCCATCATACTGTGACCAACAAGCTCTTTGTTTGCTGCTGCTAGTTCTGAATTTGTTTACTTTCACTAGGTTGCGAGAACAGCAGGGGTTTGGGTTTGGAAGACAATAAGCAGGTGAGGGACATAGGAAGCTTCTGACATGAATCCAGGGTGAAAAAAGCATACAGAAGCCTTAGAAGGCTTAGAAGGGAGCAGAGTTGAGCTGTGGAACGTGAAGAAAACTGGACAGAGGCCCCCATTAGTGAAGAAATAAGGGACACAAGGGGAGCCAGTGGTTTGAATACAGCAGGTGGGTATGTTCTCAGACACGTCTCATTTTATGTGTCTTTTTTCTGCCATATACTGGATTTAGTGTTGCTGTTTGGTGAACTTCCCATGTTTTTGAACAGATTTGAAATCTGGTGGCTATGACTTTTGTAAGCCACATATATCTGTGAAAACACGGTCAAATTTGGTCAAGTTGTAAGCTTGGAAAAAAAAAAAATCTATCAAGCATGCCCTGAGATGCTTTATAGTTTGGTAGTTGACACATGCAAAGATTATATTCTCTCTGATGTTTCTTGAGGCTTGCAGAACTCCAGGCACTGACCAGACTGTCTGTCTTCACCGAAGAGAGAAATACACTCTAACCTCTCTGTTTCTATATGAGGCTGGACTACATGGTGTATTCTCTCTGCATCAACGAGCATCTTCTAGACTAGCACTGAGGGCCAAGCCTGCTTTTCCTTCAGTCACAACTGCTTCTTCTACTTCAGAAGGGAGTCTTTTGTGGCCAGCGTTGACAGTAACCTCCCTCCTCTGAGGGGCACAAAGGCAAGGTGCAAGAAGACACTGCTTGGTTCAAATGTAGTAGGGAGAAGAATGAGATGCAGGCAGGGCCTGGAGCTGATTTTGTCCAGGAAGTCTGGAAACTGGTAGAGCAAAGATGGGAATTGAAAAGAGAAGAGAGAAAAGACTAGAGCCTAGAAACTAGGGAGTGCAGCAGAGGATGTGATGGGGAGTCTATTTGCAAGGGAGGGATGGCCTGGACATAAATATGAAGGACCAAGACTAAGGGGAGAAAGAAAGAGGCAGATCTGCTAGGGGCTGGAAAATGAGGAGATACCTAGAATTAGCAGAACAGATGGGGACAAGAGCATGGGATGTAGACAGAAAATACGGGGGAGAGGAAGGAGATGTTAAGTAACTGGGAGAATGGAATAGGGAAGAGCCACTGCAGCAGACGATAAGGAGGCTGGGGCATGTGGGTAAAGAGCTTGGGCCTGGGTCTTGGTGCAGGAAAGAGGGGATTGCAACAGGCTAGAAGGCCAAGGGGGAATTAAGTTTGAAGTGTCATGTGGAAAGTTTGACCACATTCCCTCCAAAGCCTAGAAATGTTCAACCCAATATTCCTAAATTTTGCCATGTCTCTCATGTCAGCACAAGAATGTGACCTCCTCTGGCAAAGAACCTCATCCCCCTCTAAGGCTAGAAGAAGGTGACAAACTACCATTAGTATCATTTATCATCCTGGCTGCAGTGGCAGAGGTCTGTGCAGTGGATTTAAGATTGCTGATGACCAACATGGGTGTCAGTATGATGCCACATGTTGGAATTTCTGTTTGCTTTTTTCAACAAGTTGTTCCGTGAGCAGCGGAACTAATGAAGCCTGGTTTCCAGCGACTCTCTCCTGTGTGGATTCTCTGATGTCTGAT